TAATAGCAAAAACTAGAGAAGAAAAGAAAGCCTCAGAAGAGACATCAGGTCATTAAAGTCAGATGACTTCTGGGAATGCTTAACAGAATAAATCCATAATTAAATGGGAATAGTTGGAATAGATTTTTAGTGTATAAAGCATAACCTAAGACTCCTCTTCTACACAAACAATAGTGCTTACTTCTGAAAAAAATTGAGAGGGAGTTTTGTTTTGTTTCTGTGGTTCTTGTCCTCTTCAATAGATTTTACTTTAATTAATTATTCTGCCGGATGTGAAAACATCAATGGCTTCTACTCTTCTAGTATACAGTCTCGCTCAAATCAAACTGCAGGAATGGAGCATCATTTTTTTTACACTTAAGCCAAAGAAGATGTTTTTAGACTTTGGTACCCTCTCAGTCTACCTAGACAACTAACTCAAATAACTTCAACAGAAGCAAATCAATGCTCAGTCTTTGCTGTGTGTGGCTTCTCGATGCCATTCCTTTTGCTTAAAAAAGAAACTATTTTATAACAAAATTACAAAGAATATACTACTTCCTTAAAAACAGGTCTACAATGACAATAGAAAAATAAAAGTTATATCTTTATAATATAATTAAGTTGTATCATATTTTAGAAACTCTGGGCTACCAATCTTTTTCTACCAATTTTGGAGTTTAAAAAACAAACAAAAAAAGGTCCTATTTAGCACATTCATATTCACCAACTTCTGGTTGTCACTCCCTACCCCTGCCCACGCATCCCTTGCTTAACAGATGCGACTGTGTGCAGTGATGGGCAACTGTGTTTCAGGGAAGATAAAGAAGTGGGCTCCCACCACAGCCCCAGCTCCAGGGGTCAAAGCTCTATCCATCGAAACCTGTACTGGTGCTTTTACTCCCTTTGATTTTGACATGGGCAGAAGAGTAGGGCAATTCCAGCTAACAAACACAATCAGAGATCTGTCAGGAAGTTATTAGGAAAAATGTATTTGCTTTTAAAAAGAGCCATAAAAAGAAGACAAAGGCCCTGTTCCCCTTCCTTTGTGCAAGGATGTGGCTCTGAAAGAAAAGGATAAGCTAGAGCACAGAGCTAAGGTGGCCTTCAGGAAGGCTCCCTGAAAAAATGTGAGTGAAGTTGCTAAGCTACAGACTTAACCCCCACATCTTCCCTAGCTCCAGACTTCCTGCTACATATATGCCAAACATTTCCTCATTCTAGATTCCAGGTTATCTGCTACCGGTCCTATTACATTAATACGTTGAGTATTTCTAGGTACCAGGCCTGATTCTAAGCCTTTGGCGGGTATTGTATCACTTTACATAGCAATCCCTGAGACAAGGTCTACAAGTATCCCTATTTGCTGGATGAGTAAACTGATGTATGGACAAGTAGAGTAATGTGCCCAATCTCATATATGGTAAACAGCTAGTAACCAGTCAGTCTGACTCCTGGGCCCATGAGAAACTACCTAAATCTTAAAAACATTCATTTCAAAGTAATAATAAGATACCAATATCAATTAGTTTAAAAATCTGAGTCATGTTGAGAAAATTATGTTTCCTTCAAAGAACTGCCATGGTTGTTTTATTATTTAAAATTATTTCCATCACACAATGTTTGTGTGCTAACACTTAATATATGATAAAATTAGGACATTTCCTGTGCCATCTGGGTGGGCAAGGCAAACTGTCCCTTTTTGCTATTTCATATTTGAATACCCTACATCCACAAAGTTATTTTAGGATCTTTATACCATAAAACATAGGCTGAGATGAAATATGTAAAACATTTATGATTTTATTCTACAGCTATCATTAATCTAAATTGAAAAACAATTTATTCCAGTATTTAGTCAACAAAATTATTAATAATTTTAAAAATTACTAAAGTAACTAAACTTTCTTTGAGCACTCACCTTGTTTTCCATCCACATAAACTTTTTAAAGAAAATAAGTTGGCTGGGTGCGGTGGCTCAGACCTGTAATCCTAGCACTTTGGGAGGCCGAGGCAGGTGGATCGCCTGAGGTCAGGAGTTCGAGACCAGCCTGGCCAACATGGTGAAACCCTGCCTCTACTAAAAATACAAAAATGAGCTGGACATGGTTTTTGTACAGGCACGTGCCTATAATCCCAGCTACTCGGGAGGCTGAGGCAGGAGAATCACTTGAACCGTAGAGGTGGAAGTTGCGGTGAGCCAAGATCGTGCCACTGCACTCCAGCCTGGGCAACAGAGTGAGTCTCCGTCTCAAAAAAGAAAAAAAAATGAAAAAGAAAATAAGTGACCAACTAAACAAACATGTGGCTTTTTATTAAAAGCACTGAAAAATGCTCGATATCACTCATCACCAGGGAAATGTAAATCAAAAGCAAAGTAGGACATCACCTCATACTGTTAGGATGGCTGTTATCACAACACCAAAATATGGCCGGGTACAGTGACTCACGCCTGAATTCAGCACTTTGGGAGGCGGAGGCGGGTGTGTCACTTGAGGTCAGCAGTTTGAGGCCACCCTGGCCAACATGGTGAAACCCCATCTGTACTAAAAATACAAAGAATTAACTGGGCATGGTGGTGTGTGCCTGTAATCCCAGTTACTTTGGAGACTGAAACAGGAGAACTGCTTGAACCCAGGAGGTAGAAGTTGCAATGAGCCGAGATTGCACCACCGCACTCCAGCCTGGGCAACAGAGCAAGACTCTGTCTCAAAAAAAAAAAAAAAAAGGCCGGGCACCGTGGCTCATGCCTGCAATCCCAGCACTTTGAGAGGCTGAGGTGGGCAGATCACGAGGTCAACAGATCGAGATCAGTTTAAGCCACATGGTGAAACCCCGTCCCTACTAAAAATACAAAAAAATTTAGCCAGGCGTGGTGGTAGGCACCTGTAATCCCAGCTACCCAGGAGGCTGAGGCAGAAGAATTGCTTGAACCCAGGAGGCAGAGGTTGTGATGAACCGAGATCGTACCACCGCACTCCAGTCTGGGCGACAGAGCAAGACTCCATCTCAAAAAAATAGAAAAAAGAAAGAAGAAAAGAAAAAAAAAAGTCAAAATATAGTGATAGCAAGGATGCGAAGAGAAGGAAACCCTGGTATACTGCTGGTGGTAATGTAAATTGGGACAGCCTCTATGAAACAGTATGAAGCCTCCTCAAAAATAGAACTACCATATGATCCAGCAATTCTGCTTCTGCGTATATATCCATAATAAATAAAATCCCTATATCAAAGACATATTTGCAATTCCATGTACACGGAAACATAAATTCACAATAGCCAAGATATGGAAACAACCTAAGTGACCTACAACAGATGAATGGATTTAAAAAAATGTGATATACACTGTGTGTGTGTGTGTGTCTGTGTGCACATAAATGTATAAAATGGAATATTATTCAGCCTTTCATAAAAAATGACATTCTGACATTTGTGACAACATGGATGAACCTAAAGGGCATTATGCTAAGAGAAATAAGCCAAACACAGAAAGACAAAATCTGTATGATTTTACTTATAAGTGGAATCTTGGAGGAGAAAGAAAATGAACTTATGCTAATAGAGTAGAATGGCAGTTACCACAGGGAGTGGGGTGTGAAAAAAGGAAAAATATTGGCCATAGGGTAAAAACTTTCAATTGTAAGATGAATGAATTCTGGAGACCTAACATATAGCATGGTGAGTCTAATTAACATATTTTATACTTGAAATTTGCTAAGAAGCTAGGCACAGTGGCTCATGCCTATAACCATGACACTTTGGGAGGCCAAGGCAGTAGGACTGCTTGAGACCAGGAGTTCAAGACCAGCCTGGGCAACATGGCGAAACCCCATCTCTACAAAAAAAAATTTTAATTAGCTGGGCATGGTGGTGTATACCTATAGTCCTAGCTACCAGGGAGGATGAGGTAGGAGGAACACTTGAGCCTAGAAGTTCAAGGCTACAGTGAGCTATGATTGCACCACTGCACTCCAGCCTGGGTGACAGAGCAAGACTCTATCTCAAAAAAATTAAAGTAAATTAAATTTTAAAAAATTTGCTAACAGAGTAGATCTCACGTGTTTTCACCACATATACACACAAAATTATATCTATGTAATGTGATGGATAAATTATCTTGATTGTGTCAATCATTTTACTAATATATACATATATCAAAACCTCACACTGTACCCTTTAAATATATACTATTTTTACTTGTCAATTATACTTCAATAAAGCTGGGAGAAAGCACAATTAAAATCATAAAACACTGGGATTCCCTTCCACTAAAAAAACCCATTGTGAGTCAGTAACAACCAATTAAGGCATTAAAAAAAAACACTGAAAGAATTAACTCATCAGATACATTCTGAGTCATCATATGAAAGGAGGACTTTTCTAACAGTGATGCAACAACTTTGTAAACAATTATTCTTTCCAAGGCAGAAAACAATTATTTCTGAGTGGTAAACAATTCTGATTTCATGAATTGTAGGTGGATGCACTGCACAGTGAAATAGATAACTCTATAGACTGATAAACCTAAAATAGGTCCTTGAAATTTATGAACGGATAAGTGCCCAAACATGACAAAATACAGTAATCTAAATTCTAAAACAACACCATAGGATATATTTCTCTTGTACGGTGAAGTTAGATAAAACAGAAAGTTTTAATTTGCATCTTCAGATCCCTTGAATTATTGCCTATCAAAGAAAAGAAGAGTCTTGAAAGTCTACTCACTCACAGCACGATTCACTGCCAAACATCTGCACCTCTGCATTACAAACGCTAAAGCCCTGAACCTTCAGAAACTACTGCAAATATTCATAACCGCTCACAAGAAATCTGTGATCAGAGACCAACCAGAAATATCCTGCATTTATGTTAAACTCTGACATAGAGACTGGTACTTAACTAAAGTTTGTTAAAATAATTTACTTTTAATCATCACCAATGATTGAGATGGGAGAAATATCTTTGGGGTATGGGACAGGATGTTACAGCAATGACGCACATATAAGGATTTGTCATGTTACCTGTTCTTGTTTCTCCAGCCACTTGCCCACCATTGGGTGACTGGCACTCAGAGACGAGCGAGCATTGTCTCTCTGAAATTGGTTAGACCAGTTACTAGTATCCCATGGGAGGCTTCTGTAGTTTTCATCTTTCTATTCAAAAAGAAACAAAAAGGCGTCTTGTAAAAAACCAGACCTTGCAAATCAGTAATGCACCTGGTTTTTCAAAAGTAGCAGAAAAATGATTCTACATATTTAAAACATCTTTCCAATCCTATACAAAATAGCTGATTGAGAACATTCCACCCAGATTAGACCTTGGAATTATAACCATGTGCCGAGGACAGGCAAGTCTAATAATTACAGCAGGAAGGGCACACACGGCACACAACAGACACAACACTACACTTTGCACTCCTACCCAAATCAATCACCTAAACCAAGTACGTGCACCGAAAAGTGAACTTCTATATGAGACTTTCACTCTTTCTCAACTGGAGCATATTCTCTTCTTTCCAGTCTCATACCTAATTTATGAGGTACCATCTTAATTCATCAGAAATGCTAAAAATAAGGAAGACTAATAAATGTGCCCTTTCTTCAAAGCCTTATGGTTTTGTGATTTTTGGATAAGAGATTTAGATTATCCAGGTTGTTTCTATTACCTACTTCACAAGTTAGTAGTCAGCATTAATTCAAGTATCAGGGGAAAAAACTGGCCTTTCACAATTATTTGTTACATAATAGATACATAATTGTTCACTGTGACATGAATATGACAAGTGATGTCTTTACATAAATAAATATTTATCAACTAAGTTTTTAATACTCCCCAGAACAACCAAATGCTACTTGATATTTCTTTCAAATAAAAAATTATAGTAACTTCCTTTGGCTTATGAGCTGTAAAACTTCATTTCAATGTTCTAAAAAGAAATGAGAAACCTAGGATAAACTAGGAGAGTCATACTTTTTAGTTCAGTGACTAAATCTAAATCATCTCCTACAAGAACAAAGTAAAATATTACCGTTAGTTGGATCCACTTAACTCAGTACACCAAGTTAGAAGTACTAACATATTGTCCTTAGTAACACTGTTAAGAGTAATCTGGCTATAAGTATTACATGTGGGATTGATACTTACTCTTCATGTGCTAAACTATATGAACACTCAATACAAACACAAACAAAAAAGTGCAATAGAATAGGTTTGCAGTGTGTATAACTTAGTTATAGATCAGGATACTATTTGCTCTTCCTTCATGAGTTCCATCAGGGAATAAAACTTAAAAATGAATTCATAGTCTTGGGTTTATGTCAATATTGGGACATATGTTCAAACAAAAAAAAATTGATAAACATTTACCAACATAAACTTTGGACATGAAACTTTATAAACTTTAAGAATTAACCTGCAAGAAATAAAATCTTTAAAAACTCAGTAGCGAGATGGAACTTTAGCAGCAAGTTTTTTGTTTGTTTGTTTGTTTGTTTGTTTTTTAATAGAAATGGCAAGGAGAAGACATGGACAAAAAACTAACTAAGGAAGCAAACTAGAAACTAAAGTTCATCGTATCTCAAGATACTAAGTCTCTCCTTAAAACTTAAGCTTCAGAAAAAAGGAAAGGAAATACTGTTTCATATGATAGTCCATAGATATAAGCTTATTCTGATAAGAATTTTTTATAAATCATAGAAATTCAGGTAAGTCATAAAGGGTAAACTTACTAACGACAGAACCTTATTTATTAGTGACAGAACCTTATGTGTCTACAAAGAGAAGGAGGATTTAAAGTACACTGAAATGCAAGTATAATTTTTATGTCAAAAATAAAAATTGAGGCTATCATTGACTAGGGACCAGGCTTTCATACTCATTTCCCACCATTTGAGGTGATTATTACACCAACTGCTTACTTAGAAAATGAATAATTAAACCAAAAGTATTTTTTAAAATCTACCCTCTCTTTTCAGTAGGAACTGTATTTCAGAGACATCAACAGTACCAGTTGATGAGGGGAAACTTGTCTTTTCAGAAGAATGCCAAATAATAGAAATAGAACTAATAACAGAATTAGAAACATGACCATTTTCAATTCCTAATGAAATAATTAATTCAGGCAAAGATAACCATACTAAAACCATTTTAAGAGTTGATAGATAACTGGATATTTGCATAGTGACAAAATACCACTTGAAAAGAAAACGAGTCTACTTTTGAAATGAAGAGATCAGGCTCCACACAATTGTCACCTTTTGGTGTCTGGAATCCAGTATGCTACTGGTACCCACCCCCCTGCTCCTTCCTGAATCTATGCCACTTTTCCTCTTCCCGTAAATGGTCTTGTTAGCTCTACGAACTGCTGAGTATTACCTCTCTGGACAAGCTCAAAAACTGCACAATTTCACCACATCCCACCCTGACAACTTTCAGGCATAAGTCACGAAAACGAAACTGTTTCCTGAATTCATGATCTCAGTTTCCAACAAGAGGTCCCAAAGACACCTCGAAACTGAGCTCCCTATTTTGCTCAGACACCATTCCCTAAAATATTTAGAATTAGTTTTACTCTCTTTCCTCCATCTTTGATCTCCACAGCTTCTAGGTCTTATTGATCCAACATTTTTGCTGATTTTGGTCCTCGGCCATAAACCTAGTTCAGGATCAGCTTGTCTCTGACCTGACATTTTAACAGTGGCCTTCTAACTGGACACAGGCTCTAGTCGCAGCCTCTCTAAAAATGTTCTGCACCACTTTCTGGCAGAGGAGTTTCCTAAAACGTATGTTGGGTCACATCAAACCTCCAGCAAACACTGTAGGTAGACCAGAGGGAATTTCAGACAATGGTGCTTGCTGTGCCACACAAATTTCTTCACCTTCATTCTTGCTTTCTTTGAGACCTGGACTTCCAATATCATTTCTCCTATAGAAATACTGAACATTCTCCAAAGCCCAGTTCAAATGCTACTTTCTAACAAGTAGTTCCTGATTCTCAATAGAACTAATCATGCCATGCTTTCTGTTACCACTCTGTTCTAATTTTACTTTAATTATGGTTCTAACTTATAATTTAGTTAACTTTAAAAACTGCTATTTCTACTCTTACAGGGAAGCCTGGGGAAATCATCATTCACCTTTAAACACAAGCACTTAGCACAGTGGCTTACACCAACCTGGGTGACTTTTTCATGAATATTTTTTATGTTGCCTATTTCACATGGTTTCAGAATCCTGGAATTTTAAAAGAATATTTTGATAAGTTGTTTTAAAAATTGTTTAGGGAATACTTCGAAGAGGTATTAAGATAAACTTCAGTAAAATGTATTTTCGGTGAAATGTAATGATTGTATTTTTAGATTTATACTAAAAGATGTATACCACGGTTATATGCCTATTTCAATTTCATGTCACACCTACAGCATATGATGTCTCTGGCAAATGTGATTATTTCCAATCGCATAGAAAAAATAGTACACTGTTTCTCCATGTAAGTCAATTATGACATGCAGTACCTGCAGCACAGCAACACACAATAATCAGATTAAGAGACAGAACGGCTGAAGATAGCAAGGTCTGCAATTTTCCACTACATTTGAAGAATTCCACAATTTTATAATTGTGGAATCAACTTTGAGTTCATGGATAATAAAACTAAAACTGGCGTTCACTCGCATAACAAAGCAATTTTCCTAATTCATGTAAAATCAATAATGAATCCATATATTGACTTATGCATAATGTATGAAAACTGCAGTTATTTACAGCAATCTTGAATTATCAATCAATTGAAGAATTTTTAAAATGCACTATTAATTCCTATCAACATACTTGTTATATTTCTGACAGCATCATGCAGATCCTACTAGCGTTTCAGTCATGTTTCTTCCTCCCAATCCTGAAATCTGGCCACAAATCTAGTTCACCATCTACTGCATACAATGTGTATCAAGTGCATACAAGGACTGTAGGCCTGTAAAGCTGTGTGTATTTATGATAAACATCGCAGCATACAATGTATTAAATATTTTCTACAACACAATTTATACTAGATACCACTGTCCATTGAAATATACATCATGCACTCTATTTTCAATTTGAAAATGTTTGCTTTAGTGTAAATAATTGTTAAAATATGGCAGTCGTAACTAGTCTATTCAAGACTATATACACTCACTTATGAATCAAATTATAACTATAAACCAAAAATTTTAAATCAAATATACACAATTCTAATGATTATAAAACTTACTAATGTCATAAATTTGTTAGAATTATTACTTTATCTAAAAGATTATACAAGAAAAATGCCATAAGAAATTATTCTCCCTTTTTTAAATTATAACTTTAATCCTCCACTTACGAGGCTGCCCCAAATAGCTGCTCAGCTTTGTGCTAGGTGGGAAATTTTCCTTCTTGCCAGAAAAAAACAGATGTTCCTGCTGTGATCAGGGATTTTCCTTATCATCTAAATGTACCGCCACAGCATCAGGTGTCAAAAAGCCACTCCGGCTGGGAAATGCATATTAATTTGCTGCTCCCTGGTAGTGGTATCCTGGCTATGGAGAAAATCTCTTTCAGGGTAGGGAAAGTAAGTGTCTTCTCCCACCTCAGCCCTCCCCAAGCTTATTACAATTCAGTAAAATCATGTAGAACCCACCCAATGCCTTGAGATAGAAGCTCATTCCCAGCATACTAAGCTGCAACTCCAAGGCTTTATCTCCCAGAAACAGCTATTTAGCTGATGGTCAGATTTCTTGGCAAGACTATATCCCTATGTTGCAGAAGTCAGAACTGGGGTTTCATGAACATTACAGAAGTAATAAACATTTCTATGTTGGCATAGGAAACCCAACTATGTTTCCACTTCACTTCAGTGCAAAAATTTCAATTTTTTAAAGAATTATGAGAAATCATACCATATTTTGAAATACAAAATACTCAATGCATATACATTTCATTCAGAACCTCCATGTATCATATGGTTTCAAATAGCCCATGAGATGTTAAGATTTTACATTTCACATTTTTCAACACTGTAATTACGGTAAAAGAAAATTAAATGTTCTACTTAATTATTTCTCCAGGAAACGATACACAAAAAACGAAGGGAACTATTTTCAGGATATTTAATCTAAAATTAGGAGACTGAAGT